CAGAGGCATAAAATATTATTAATATGTCGTAATACATCTATTTATTTTCTTCTCAGTGTACCAGAATGGGTAGTTTATATGTTAGTATTTACTGGAGGAGAATCCCCCCAGACCCCCCTTCTGGGGTTAGGTTTTCAGCACGTGTGACTTTTTATGTTGTACAGTTCAGCTTTGATTCCATCATCTCATTAAACCTTATTTAAAAGCATTCTTTTGTTCTGTGAAGGGATATAAGGGATATGCACTGTACTTCACTTTAATTAATATTGTATGCTGCAAAGCGTATATATTACTGCAGGATTTTTTGTTGAATAGATTTGAGTGGTTAAAAATTTCGGATCGCCATCTATTGACTAAGGAAAAAGTGGGTCCCGAGGCCTGACAAGTTGAGAACCACTGGTCTAATGGTCATTGGAACGAGGGGCGGGGCGAAACTCACGGAAGTAATTTTAAAACAAAAGCACTCAATGATTTGATGATAGGTTACAAATATTTGTTACCATAAGTTCTTTATAAAACTGACACTGTTGGACTCAGTATTAGTTGACTGCTACCAGAAATAAAATGAAGTACTTTTACTGTGTACTTTTTGAGTAATCCTCTGTTAAAGTCCCCCTGCATAGTACATAATGCATGTTTTCTGCTATCTTTGATGAATGATAAAAAGCAATGTTATCATTAGTTCTTAATGATATTGATACTGCAGGACTCAGTAGTCTCACACCTACTACCACAATACTATGAAGTACTTCTAGTGTGTTTTTTTTTTCCTCTGTCAAGACTAGTTTTAGCTCTCAACAAGTTTTAAAAGTGTATCTGACCTTTTTTCACCTAGTTAACTTTTTATTTATTTATTCATGCATATTTTACTAACCACTACCCCCTCAAATGGAAATATGTGTTTACATAAATCGTGACCAAACCGTTTGAGATCCACTGAGAACTTAGACTAAGTTAACTATCTAAACACTCAGAGTCCTTTACCTCACCTGAGCTGAGGTTATCCTGAGCTTGAATGACACACAGACCAATCAAGGGCTTTGATTTATGATCTGTATGACAGTGGCCATGTCGGCAGGCCACATCATGTAGACAGCCAGTCACACTGTGTGAGGCAGACCACATCATGTAGACTGCCAGTCACCCTGTGTGAGGCAGGCCACTTAACAGGCCTGGCCATCGGGAAACCCCCCGGTCCTCCCGATGGCCAGTCCGGGACTGGGATTGTTTCCAGTGGCGAACCGTGTCTATCACAAGTGGACCTTCTGTAGACACACACGGTTCGCCACTGATTGTTTCACAATATGATTCCATCGAAAGACAGTAGTCAGATTTATTTATTTTAGTTTGACCAATTAAATCCTGTCCGTTAATCCCTTGAAGCACACAAGGAAAAATTCTCCAAAGAAACCACATCATTACCGAGGAAAATAAATGAAAGCAATCGCCTGGGAAGGAAAGACGCGGAGCTGGTTCCGTCAGCAGTGAACTACAAACTTTTTGAGCTACAGTATATTATCAATTTGAGCTAAAGTGGCTGAGGGAAACTAAGCTGCTGTGGCAAGCTGAAGTGATGCATTAACAGTCTGCAGCACTCAGTACCCTGTGACTAAATCAAGAGGCACGGGCAGGACAGGTTAGCTGTCAAGGCCGCTCACTTATATGTGTATATATATATATATATCACTTATTTCAATCAAAACAAACACATGTTCAAGGATCCTGGTCAAAACTCTATTTAGGTAATTTTTTTAGAATTAATTAATTAAAACTTGATTTCAAAAAATGGATGATTCACTCTTTATGATAAGGTGTATCTTTTTGCCTTTATATAAACATTTCCCATTTCAGCCTCTTTGAGTTTAATGCCCAAAATAAGACCTTCGGTTAACACAAGCTGAAGAGATGTTCATGTGTTGTTCTACGATGTAAAATATGTCAGTAAATACCCCACTGGTGAATTTCTGAAGCTTCTTCAACGTCAGCTTTTAAATTCTTGCAATTAGACAATTATACAATAGACACATACAATAGACAATACAATACAATACAATACAATAGACAATTATAAAAGTGGTGTTGATATGAGGGGCTTATCCTGCGGAAAAATATGTGTATGTAGCATACAAATTGTATTCACTACAGATCATATTTTCTGCAAAATTTCGAAATCCAAGGGAAAAATCCCATTGCTTTTTACTGAGGGAGGCCTTGCCATGCTAACTTCAGGGTCTGCCTATAAAAACACATCATCACTGCACCGCTCTAAGCATGTTGTTTTCTTGTACCACCATTTTGCTGTTTTTACACATATTTAATACAGATCTAACCTCCACCCACCTCTGTGTACATCCATATATTCAGGGGTGCACATAACTTTTTGAGTGAGTTACTCAGATGAGTACCAGGAGACAGCGTTTGGTACTCACCACACACTAAGCGTGGTCCTCCTCAGTGTCTTCTTCATTGTCCTCTATTTACACTTCTTGCATGTTAGATGATGAGGATGATGATGATGCACCTCCCTGTCTCTTTTTAAGCCTCCGATTTGCTTTCTCCAAAACTTGTTGCCAAAACTGTGAAGTCCTTGCATTTCCTGAGGCCAAGTTGAAGGATCAAATACTAAGAAATTATCACATGACTTGAAGTCATATCTGATTTCAGATGTGGGAAGTTAATAAGTACACTTATTCAAGTACTGTACTTAAGTACAATTTAAGATACTTGTAGTTTACTTGAGTATTTCTATTTTATGCTACTTTGTACTCTACTCCACTACAGTTCAGAGGTAAATCATGTACTTTTCCTCCACTACATTTATTTAATATCTTTAGTTACTTTACAGATCTGGATTAATGATGTGAAATATAATCAAGTCTTAAATCAGACTTTAGTTCACCTGGAGTAAATTCAGAATCTACCCTGCAGTATACAAAGTCATTCAAAAAAAATGTGATAACACTTTAATGATCAATAATTATATCATATACATTATTATGAAATGGGCCAATCTGCAAAATGACTACTTTTACTGTCGCTACTTTAACTATATTTTGATGATAATAGTTTTCTAATTTTACTTGAGTAACACTACTTCCACCTCTGTCTGATTTCAAACTCTTCAATTAACAGCCTGAGTAAGTCTGCAGCTGTGTGTTTTACTCCTTTGTTTTAAATAAAACTGCAGCAGCTTGACCACAGAGCGTGAACGTTGTGATCAAGCTGATTTTGCGCAGTTCTCCAGTGTGTGCGCGGGGCACAGAATGTGCGCAGGGGAATCTCCCACCGCAGCCAGTTGACGTAGTTTTGGTACAATTCTGTTGTACACACCGACATTAACAGCAGCTCCGTCTGTGCACACGGTGAACAACTCTGTTGTCCAGTGATCTAAGCCTCTTTCTCCTGTGAAGCTTCACAGGTCTGTCGGTTATGTCCTGCGCGGCTCGCTCTCCAGTTCAATCAGTCATAGAAAGTCAGAAGATTTTTGCAGGGAGCGAAACGGCAACGTAGCTGCTTAATGACTAATAATTTACTCCACTGAGTGTTGACAAGATACACGTGTAGAAGAAATATGTGTTTTGTTTTGATGACCTATCAGGTACGCAAAGGCGCGTAGTGACACAAGTGACGTTACGCATTTCAGATTGTTGCCGCGCATGCGTACCAGTTATGTGCACCCCTGCATATATTCATCCTCACCATACCTTCCTGTGTCAAATTAACTTCCTCCTCCTCCTCCTCCTTTTAGCTGGTCAGTGTAGCAGAGAAGAGGCCAGCGACAGTGGACATCTCCAAGAAACCAAAAACACCAAAGAAGAAGAAGCGCAAGGACCCCAACGAGCCGGTGAAGCCAGTTTCCGCCTACGCCCTTTTCTTCAGGGACACCCAAGCCAACATCAAGGCCCAGAACCCCAACGCTACCTTCGGAGAGGTGTCCAAGATCGTGGCCTCCATGTGGGACGGCCTGGGGGAGGAAGAGAAACAGGTAGCTCCTCCAGCTGTCAATCAGCATGACATCAGTGACATGACGACAATATGTACATGGTCGCTACACTGAAAAAAACCAAGTGACTTTAATTAAATGAATTATGTCAACAGATTTCACATAACTGCATTAGGTTAGCTGAGAGCAATAATATAAAGATTACATATGTAATTAGGTTCAACTTAATATTATTGCCTTCAGTTATATTACATTTGTTTGATATAATACATTTAATTAAAGTCAACATTTCAGTTTTTTTTCAATGATTGTCTAGTTTTTGGTCATGAAATACAAAAACACAATAATGAAAGTTTGTTAGGAAAATGATTTGGCCATGCCAGCAGCACAGATCTATACATGATTTACTGAAATATCTACACTTTTAATTGCAATGAAATGTGGTTCATACAGTATATTCACGTACCACAGTGTCAACATGTCAAATAAGGTAATGTGGTTCTTTATGACCAAATTACTGAAACGATTCTAATGCCATCAGCCTCAGTACAAATTTAAAAAATAAGTTGTAGTAGGTGCGTGAGAATTCATTACTGTAGCCTAGTGTTACTTGTAGATAACTGTCAGCTGAGGGAAACACTATAAGCCCCCTGATGGCTGTTGTGATGATTAAATGCAGTATCCATTCTCACAGCTGGTGTTCACTCAAAAAATGAGTTTACATGAATATAAACTGTGCTTTACAGATGATGTACTGATCATTCATTGAAATGTTGTGAACTGGAATAGAGGTGGATAATCCTCTGTGTTTGTTTCAGGAGTACAAGAAGAGGACGGAGACGGCGAAGAAGGAGTATCTGAAACAACTGGCTGCATACAGAGCCAGCCTGGTCTCACAGGTACACACACACACACACACACACACACACACACACACACACACACACACACACACACACACACACACACACACACACACACACACACACATTTTAAAGGTGTGAATGTGATTTTCAGTTGTGTTTTTTGTTCTCCAGAGTTACAACGATCCGTCTGAAATGAAGCCCCCCCACTCTTCCTCGATACCTTCCTCTACCTCAATGTATAGCCCTAAGCCTTCAGTGTACCCCGGTCATCCAGGCCAGCACCACTCCTCCAGCCCAATGGCCCCCCCCCACTCTCACCCCCACCCCCACCACCACTCTCACCCCCACTCTCACGCTCACTCCCTCCCTTCCCACCAGCACCCCAGCATGTACATGCCGTACCCTCACCAGTCGCAGCCTTCCCACGCCTCAAGCCCCGGCCTCAGCCCACACCTGCCCCCCCCTCACACCCAGATGCACCCCCAGCTCCAGGCCCTGTCCTCCAGAGGGACGGTGCCACTCCCCAGCGTGCCCCCCCACCAGGGAGCTCTGTCCCTGGGCAGCATGGCGGCGTCCAGCCCTCCGCTCCAGGTCAGCCCCCCACTCCACAGCCAGGCCCACTTGGGGGGGCTGCACAGTCCCCACCAGCAGCATCACCAGCACCACCACCAGCAGCAGCAGCACCAGCACCAGCAGCACCAGCAGCTCAGTGGACACTCTCTGGGAATGACACACTCCCCGGGCATCTCACAGGTCAGTCCCCTCTCTAACACACATCTAGTTTAACAACCGCACACTCTGAAGGGAAGTTCACAACGGAGGCAACGTCCATTTTTGGCGAATTACATGTATAGTCAATGCGAAGACGCGGATTGACACGCATTCGTCCTTGGTGGCGTAAATTAAGCTAATGACACGACCAAGCTGTCGTGCAAAAGCCAATCAGTGGTAAGAATCTCAGTGTCCTCACTGACGATGTTGAATCAGAAACTAAACAGCAGCTGTTGCTCACAGAGCTCACAGTTCATCGTATCTGGTCAGAAACTTGATAAAATCTGTGTTTGTAAATGTGCAAACCACAGGCTGTGTATGGCGAATACAGTCGCTGCTTTATATCTGTCTACAGGTTGTTGTTGTTGTTGTTGTGAGTGTGGACGGAGCAGCTCCAACGAGAGCTCAGCCTGGTCTGTCCGATCTCCTACTGTCGTCTTCTATGCTCACTTGTCAAAGCATTAATTCATGGTTTTTACTAATCGCTATCAGTATTTTGATATTTCGGCATCATTTTGATACGTGTATTACAATAAATCAAGTTCAAATATGTTTGCCAGTGCATATAGTTTGAATGATGCGAGAAAACTAAAGTGATGCTGGGCTCAAACTTCCGGAGTCTTCCGGAGTTCCGGTGACACACCATAACAGGAAGAGGAAGTGAATCTTTGGGAACATTTTCTATCTGTGAATGATGGACGTAGCTACTCTCAACCAGTGGGCGATTGCGTCACGCAGCGTCCACACGGCAGCGTGCGTTGTCGCTTGCCGGTGGGCGTGTCTGAAACTCGACCAACAACTAATCACATGAATCTCCCGTCCCGGACACACAAGCACGCGGTTTGATTAGTTAGAGCTTGTACTGGCATATGTTTTGATTGGCTGACACTTCAGTCGAAGCTTCAAAAGTTGAACTTTGCTCAACTTTTGAAGCGAGCAACGCGAGCAAAGTGAAGCGACGCGACCACAATGCAGTTCGGTAAAGCATGACGTCACCCCATTCAAAGTGAATGGGCAGAAGCCTTGAAGCTTCAACGCACGGCGCCATGTGGACGGGCCGTTACCGGGCCAACAACCGGGCCGAATGTGCTAAACTAGTGACGTAAACACTCTTGACTGCTGAATGGTCAGAGAGAATCGCTGTCAAGGGGGCTACAACTACAACAAAATGAACATATTTGACCGTGATTTAATTGTAATACACGTTTCAAAATGTTGCCGAAGTAAAAACATACTGATACCGGTTAGTAAAAACCATGAATTAATGTTTTGACAAGTCTGCAGACAGACGGCAGGCGAAAAACCTTCTAAAATGCGTGTTTTCTGAATGGAGAGCGGCTAAGCTAACGCAGTATATGCTCCGACCGTCCACACTCACAACAACGGCCTACAGACATAAATAAACCAGCGACTGTATTCTCCATGACACAGACAGTCTGTGGTTTGGACTTGTTTAACTTTTGTCTAGTTTCTGAACAGATATGAGGAGCTGTGAGCTCTGAGGGCTAACAGCTAACGGCTGATGTTGGTTTTGTGGTTCTCATTGAAGATGATGTCACGGCTCCGCCTACACTGCGTTACTATAGTTACTGCCCCAGCTACTAAACTGTAATGGAAACGCAGCATAAAGTGAGCCGTACTAAGCCGTGCGAGCCCCTGCAGTGGAAATGCGCCATGAGTCTATTTTAAAGTTGCATTTCACTCAATATAAAGTATCATTGAGCTCATGTTCAGCAGGACGCACGCTCACTTTCTTTCTGCCAGTGTGCGTCGTTCACTGTAAAGGAAGGGTGTTTATGTATAAATGAGGANGACCAACAACCAATCACATTAATCTCCCTCCCTGGACACACAAGCACGCGGTTTGATTGGCTAGAGCTTGTACTGGCATATGTTTTGATTGGCTGACACTTCAGTCGAAGCTTCAAAAGTTGAACTTTGCTCAACTTTTGAAGCGAGTAACGCGAGCAAAGCGAAGCGACGGAACCACAATGCAGTTCGGCAAAGCGAGACGTCACCCCATTCAAAGTGAATGGGAAGAAGCGTTGAAGCTTCAACACACGCCGCCGTGTGGACGGGCCGTCAGAGGCAGTGACACAAATTAATCATATCTTTAGAAAAATGATTTTCAGGCAGATCAAGAAGAACAACTTTCTGGAGTAAAATAGTCCAAAAGAAACATCCTTATTCATTTCCTAACCACTAAGATGTGAAGGAGAATTTATAAAGAAATAATGAACAGCGATGCTAAGACGATCCAACCTCCCCTTACATTGGGCCACGTGATTTTAAAACACTGAGTGTTTTTGAAGTAGAGATATATGTAAATGTTAGCAACACAGTGAACAATTTGACTTTGTAAACTAAGTATGGGATTGAAATAAAAAAATAAAAATAGGCTACCAGTCCCAAAAGTGAAAGCAGGCAATAACAGGCTCATCCACATAAATCACAGTTAGCGTTATTGTATGAAAATACATAACGATCTGCATACCTTGACGATGTTGTTGGTTGTTGGTTTTTGCTAATCGCCCCAATGTAACATGACAAGGAATTTTGGGAATGCAATATCTCCTTTCCTTTGGTAAAGGAAGGTCCAGTGTATCCTTGGCTAAAGGAGAGGAGACAGGAAGCATTGAATCACCCTTTTCATCATCTTTCACTCAGTTAAGAAGCAAAATAGACTATTTGACTGCTGCTTAAATGTGAAAAAACGTATAATTACATGTTTATCTGCTGTGTACAAATCCATTCACTAAAGTATACATACTGGACCTTACATTGTTTTACAAGCCTCTGCATACTCCTCTTATAATTATTAGATAATTAGAGATTTCAGACTTTTTACAATTTCCATCCCTCTCACCACCCATCATCAATTTCACTATTATCTTTCTACATTGTCTTTTTGCACGTATACAGACTATTATTAGTAGAGCCATTTCCTTTGGATTAAGACTCAGCTCATGTCCCCTCGAGAGTCTTCATCTTGCCCTGTCCTCTATGGCTCATCAACGTATTTCACACACACACACACACACACACACACACACACACACACACACACACACACACACACACACACACACACACACACACACACACACACACACACACACACACTCACACACACACACACACACACACACACATAAAGTGGTCGTTTGGCTCTTTGTTTGATACACAAAGACCATACAGGCTGTTGTTTATGATATTTACAAAAGAAACAGAAATAAGATATATAAAAAGTCAAATCTATTTGAAACACATAAGCACAATGAAAGAGCGTTAGAATACATAACAAATACATTTTATTACAGAAATATAATATAAACTCACACATATGTTCATAAACAAAAGTGATGGTAATTGAAACAATCTCCTCTATGTCACAAACAGACAAGGGAAACTAAGAGGAACAAGATAAAGCTGTAACCTGGAGCCATATCATGGATCCATCTTCAGTTTCAGTCTCGACAGAAACTCTCCTAAGCAAATAGTACATGCAAAACACACACACACACACACACACACACACACACACACACACACACACACACACACACACACACACACACACACACACACACACACAAACAAGCACACACACATACCTCAGTTTGTCACCTACCCTAATGTTGCCTACGAGTTCTACTTAAGTCTGCAGACAGAATATTTTATGTGTAGCAACAGGCGGTCACGTGTGGACAAAACACACACACACACACACACACACACACACACACCTACACACAC